TGTTTCCCCTAGCGCCCCCTGGCATGACAAGGAATAACATCCACAAGTTGTTGGAGAGTAGGTTTAGATTAGACATCTGTAAGAACTACTTCACAGTTAGGGTGGCTAGGAGCTGGAACCAACTTCCTGGGGAAGTGGTGCTGGCTCCTACCCTGGGGATCTTTAAGAAGAGGCTTGATGACTACCTGGCTGGACTCATTTGAGTCCAGTCTTTTCTCCCGCCCAGGAGGGGGGTCAGACTTGAAGATCTACAAGGTCCCTTCTGACCCTACTTCTATGATTCTATGATCAATCCTAGTGTCAGGCCAGGTCTCCACTCCTCTTTGTTTCCCAATATGTGTTTCACGCTTTCACCATAGGTACTGTAACATTAAACCAGAGCTGCTCATTGTTGTTTTCTCTCAGTGTTTATCAGGCATTTCAAATGTTAAGATCTTATGTTAAGCCCTAGCAACTGGAGTCATATGATCATGTAAAAATCTCAGGTTTCACTGAAAAAAAATGTTTCTATCCTTCATAGCTTCAGACTTGGGAGGAAGATGTGAAACTTTAAGTGAAATGAATAAACACCTCACAGTTGTACTAGGGTAGATTTAGGCTGTTCAGAATGTACACTAGCTGAGGATCAGCCCTATTGACTTAAAAAACATGATATTTTAAAAGATAATGTTGTGGTTGTTTGAGGCTCATAGTTATCAGATGGTCGAGGCTGGCAGGACTGGGGCTCCCTCACTGGTAGACTTCCAGTCATCCTCTAAAGAGCAGTCTGGTCAGAGAGGACTGGACTGGCAAAGTAGGAAAAAGGAGTTGGTGGCACCACTTCTCAGGGGACAGTGGGCACCAGTTACTGATCTTTAGCTGAATTTCTCAGCAACAGCACAAAAAATTCAAATCTACATTTATTACCTTCAAAAAACATATATTTAAGACATGGCTTCCCACCTCTATTGCAACCGCTTTCCTCTAACTTTCGTTTATAAGTTAATGTGTCTGCTGTGTAGAATAACTATGGCATATCAGTGAATTCAGCCATAACATGATCTATCAAACAAAGCTAGAAATCCCAATAAGGGTAAAAATATCTAAATTGGCCATTTATTTCTAGACTAGGAGAAAATTAAGCACAGGGACCTCATATCTGGGGTCTATCTTTTGAATCTGTGTCAACTGAGGCACACAGAAGAAGGGTTTTGTATGTATGTATTTATTGAAGAAAAGGACATTACATTTCATTACATTCCTCACCACCCCTCTTCTTCAGGACAACTGATCCAATATTTTCTGCAAAACACAATTGCGCATGGTAGCTTGACAGCTGTAAGAAATAAATAAGAGTTTGCTCCTTTATACCAGAAAAACAGATAGCTCACAAATGTGTGCATTACATTGCATTTAACAGATTCCAGCCTCCACTGGTTATACTATTGACAATAATACACTCCTTATTAGAGCGTCATTAGAGCACACAAGGATCTTGGAAAAAAAGCAGCATGCAACAGCTATTCCACATGTGCAACGAGAATGGATTAGGGACCCTGCTGAGACTATTACGGCTGAATGGACAGAGTCCGCACTCAAGGATGCCACTTTGAATTGTAAATCTTAGTGACATCAAATATTTCCACTGAGAGCTTTCATCTGGCAGTGGGAAAACATGGTTTGCAAATTTAACTCCTCCTTTCCCCTGTTGTGAAGAAGAATGACAGAAACTCATACAATCAGAAGGTGCAACAATCCAAAAAGGTGTTTCCTCATGTGGACTGTTCAGAGAAAGAAATCTGGATCTGAACAGCCAGACTAAAAAGCCCCTTATATGACCCTAGAGATGAAAGTAGCCCAGCTGTGCTTGCTGGACATGGATCCTTACGTCTTTCTCTCAATTGCATTCATAGAAGTGGCTTCCTTAAGCTCCTTTATGACTGTGATGGGAATTAAAAAGGATGCAGCAAGAAGACAGTGAGTTGGGAGGCTAGTGACTGATTTATCAGTCACAGCTTCTCTTCGTAGCTTATTTTCTTGCATCAAACTCTAATGTATGTATATCTATCTAAATAATTCCTACACAGTTTAGAAGCCATTCTGGTGTATGAGACTTGCACGTGCAGAAATTCTTCCATACGAGCTGACCACCACAACTCTTGTTTTTTAAAAGAAAAGCCAGAAATAATCACAGACACTGGAAGAGCTCATCAAATAGTGTCACAATGGGCCTACTTATAACACAGACTGAGAGAAGGATGCCAGAATGTTGGGCCAGATGCTGCCTGGGATGTTAGTCAGCAACTACTTCTTTCTCAGCACTGCCACCCCCTGACTTTGCATCTTCCTTCTTTTCCACTATTCAGTGCACTCCACCTTCTGCCCCAGTGTACAATTTTAAAGTGGTGGCCAGGAAGCGGAAGGGACCTACTTTATTCCACTCCTGTCTAGGAAGCTTGATGGTGAGCCCCTATCTAGGTACTTGTTAACACCATATTGACTGCCCCATGTAACAGGGCTTAATCTTTTAAATGCTTTTAGTTAACTGTGATCTATATGTTGGTGTCTTTTTATGAAGGCTGCTGGGGGAGGAAAAGGCAAGAGAAAATATGTCCCCTAAATTGAAATCTGGGTAGGAAGGAAGGAAGAATTCCTTGGGCTAGTCTGAAGAGTAGCAAACACTGGATTTGATCCTATACATGTATATATCAGGAGACAGAATGTGCTTGTGGTAGGGGAATCCTGACTTTTTCCACAGGGATGACATACCATGATATGAATTGTTTATTGAGTGGCTGACATTAAACTCACAAATCCTACCATCTGTGACCTTTTGCAGATGACTCTTTATTCATATGTCCTGTAGAAAGAAGCAGCTCCTCTTACTGCTCCTCATTCTAAGCTCCACACGTTGCTATATATGTCATCTCCCTAGGTAAAAAAGCTGCTCCCCAGCCCGTTCTCTGAACTCTCCAGACATCAGATATAGGTGGATCTAAATATTTCCTTTTTCTTCACAGTGTAGGGTTAGAACACCAGGGGAAAATTCTGTTATTAAATTTATGCCCAGAGCTGACTAACTCCTAATCACTTAGGCATTGCCTCATCAGGATCCATAAGCTACTATAAAATAGACACCCCCCCCAGCAGGTTTTGAGGGCAGGGATAACTGTGGCAAGCATTCTCAGAACACAGATCGGGCCCCACAGAAAGTGGCTGAGGAGAGTGCCATCATCCCCTGTCTTCAATAGCTCAGTGGGTAACACACTAATCTACACTACAAGTGGGATATCAAGGTTCAGTTCCCTCCTCTCTTTGAACTTGCATCTCCCAATGACTGTGCAAGCATTCAGTATGTAAGTAGTCATTGCAGCAAAAACTAAAACTCAGTCTCCCCTTGCAGAGGTGAGTGCCTTCACTGGTAGGTTATAGAGTCATTCTCTCTCCCTCTCTGCCCAATGAATAAGTATTCCATGCAAAGTGGTACAGCTCCTATGAGACGGAAACTTACTAATCCACCTCTAATACTTCTTCAGTGTTTGATTATCCCACATAGTGTGCATTGTACATTGTATGGGAAGGGAAATACATGAGCCACTCTGAGCTGTTCATTCATAGCATGTCTATGTTGCTGCCATGGTAATCCCAAGAGTGCCACCAAGGACCAGCCTTGTCCACTTGTGCCCACATCACCCACTCTACTTGCCAGAGGCAGGACTTTTGTCTTGGGCATACTCCTAAGACTGGTCCCTGGTGCTTCTGGCTTTGCTCTAACAAATACGACATGATTTTTTTTTTAGCATGCCACTTGGGGGACAGGAGTGAGTGTATGAGGCAACTATGTCTCTGGAATAGACATGGCCCCGCAATGCTTTTTTGGAAGGCTAAGCATCCTATGAAAGCCCTTCACACTCCTAAATGAGCCTTATATTTTACTATCTCAAGTACCTTCTCCAATATTTGAATGTTCCTTATAATCTCAGATGGAGAAAAAGGTATCAGCCATCACTAACAAACCATAATTTTATGAAATATACACTAGACAGTAATTTAACTTTACCTATAACACTATTTTCACATATTCGTAGAAGGAAAAAGATGTTGGTTGCTTAGGAACAATTCTTTATAATAAAAAATGAATCCATGAACTCCTAGGATTTCTTAAAGTACATCTAATGTGTTTGTTTACAGGGTGGCTCAGCCGCTGAGTAGTGCAAGCTGGTGTGAGCGTGTTACTCCTGTGCTCTGTGGACTGTGCATTTCTGAGTGAAAGTCAAAGAGCTGGGTGTAGACTGCAAAGACTTAATAGTCTAAGCCCCAACCAATTTGGTATCTGCCATTCATCTAGGCCCTACTCTGTCACATGCATGCAGTGGGAAAACTTTGGCTCTCTCTGCTGTAGCTGAAGCATGCAGGGCAGGCAGGGCATACTCACTGACACTGTCTGGCCTTTGGAATTTGCTCCCACCAGAAACACTTCTGAGCCCAAATTTAGCCAAACTATCTTGTCCTGTCTTTCTGCTAACTAGTGTTCCCAGGCAGTCCTACCTACATGCAGGCTGGGTTTTGTCTATCTCAGGCTCTTGAGGAGAGAGTAGTGTGATATCATGGATGGATTGTGCCCCCATACCCAAGAATGATACCTTTTTGAGGGAAATGCTTCTTTCATACTTAACTTCAATCTTTGTATGGTTCGTAGACATACTATGATGATGGATACACTAGAAATCTGGGGAATAATCTAAGCAATGTGGGAGTTTATGACCTTGAGCTCCTAAATGTGTGCCCACTATCTTGTTGGTACATACATTCTGATATTACTAGCTATTTCTTAGGTGTTTGACTGTACCAAAGATTTCCTGGGCAAATAAAAATGGCTGTTTGGTGCTAGGTCTCCAATTCGTGCATAAATTTGTTTATTCACACCTGAGTTTTTCTGGGGTTTTTTGGTGTCCTTTTAGGCATGAAAAGGCAAACAAATATTTAGAAGCAAAATGTTACATGTTCAGATTTGTAAACCATTTCTGAAAATTGAAGTTTGCAATAAATTGCATAAAAGAGGTCACTGAGTGGTCTTTAATCTTGGGGTCAAGTTTCTTGTTCTGTTTCAACCAGGAAAATGGCCATTCTTTGCCTGTAGTGTTCTTTTAGCAGTGCATTGAATTGAATAAAGAGGAAATGATTGCTATTCCGATAGAAACACCATAAATTAGTGACAAGAAGTTAAAAACTGCTCAGAATTGGCTTCAATGTACATGACTGCAATATTGTTGTTGCTTGTTTTTTTCTTTCAAGGAATACATTAGAGTTGCTGGGAGGAACTGTTTCTACTCCAGCAGACATAAAACCCATTTGCTTGTTTTTTTCATTAGTGCTATTCCCATGTTCTCAGACATGAGTACATGCTTTTAGAAATGACAAAATACCATTGCATCGCATGCATGGTAGGTTTCTATGTCTTTTGGTGTAAGCCCAGAAGTAAGGGACCAAATATGTCTATAAGAACAGAAGTGATCTCCTGGGATATTTTAATTAAAAGAAAACCTTCCTTGTAAAGCTAACTTATCTGTGATGCCCATTGGGATGTCTGCCAGGGTGGAGCAGGTATTTAGTCGGGAGGCCCTGTGGGACATGATACTGGACCTTTTCTTCCGATTGTAAAAATAGTTAGTAACATGGAATCGGAATTTGTCATGAAGGGAGGCATAAATGAAGGGGTTGTAGCAGGCAGAGCTCATGGCGACCAAGTGACAGGACACTTGAATCACATTCACATACCTCTTGTCCAAGATGGTGAATTCCTCATCTATGTCTCTGATAAGGTTTACTACCTGAAGAGGCAGCCAGCAGATGGCAAAACACATGACTGAGATGATGAGGACCCGGAAGGTCTTTTGCTTCATTTTGGTCCATTTGTCTTGATTATGGTAGCCAGCCCCTGGGATATTCCTTTTCCTGAGGTGGTAAGAAATGGCCAAGTAGGAGACTGACACTGCTGAAAGTGGGAGCATGTATGATAAAAGGAGCATTGAGCATGAGTACCCCAGCCTCTCTCTCTCTTCGTGCTTCCAGAATTCTTCACAGATGATCATGTCATGACCAATCTTGTTGAGATCTAAATAGTGGGTGTGCATGGATGTGGGTACAGAAACTACAATGGAAAGTAACCAAATAAGGGCCACAATGTACGTACAGGACTTGCGGCTTAGCCGTCTGCGAATGGGGTACGCAACAACAATATAACGGTCCACTGCAATAGCTGAGAGGGACAGCACAGACACGAAGACAGTGGCAGCCTGCATCAAGGCAACAAAGTAACACATGAACATCCCAAAGAGCCAGCCACGGACCTCAAAGGCATAGGATGCAGTCAGTGGGACACAGACAACACACATGATCAGGTCAGCAGCAGCCAGGTTTCCTATGAGGAAATTAGTAGTGCTGTGCAGCTTTTTGGTGACAGCAATAAGGAGAATAAGGAGGAAATTTCCTGTGCAAGCCACAGCTACCAGAGTGGCATAGAGGGGGATGAAGAGAGGCTTCAGGTCAAAGAGAAGGTCAAGGCCAGTGAACACAGGGGTCGAACCATTCTGCCAGGAGTCATTTGGTAGCTGACTGTGTGCCATGTTGAAGCTTGTGTCTAAAAGATGTTGCTTATCCTTGCCTTAAATAAATTCAAGAAGAGAAAAGTTTGTTAGCCCTATAGCAAAAATATTTGTTCTTTTCAAGTTCTACCACAGTTTCTGCCTGAGAATCAAGGCCCTGGTCCTTGAGGGTGGCCAAGGACTACCAAACCTGCCCAAGGTACTTTGAACCACCTCTCTGTTTCACCACTTCTAGCCTGCTATATGTTAGAACAGAGTTCTGGCACGTGTTAGAGCAGGGGCAGGCAATTATTTTGGGTGGAGGGCCGCTTACTGAATTTAGGCAAGCCATCGAGGGCCACATGACAGGCAGCCAGGGGCAGATGAATATTAATTTTCTGAATTTTTTAGGTGTCCCACAGGCCAGATAGAATAGTCTGGCAGGCCGCATTTTGCCCACCCCGTGTTAGAGTAACCCAAAGGATACTCTGAATTGCATAGGATGCTGATGGCTCCAAGCAGCTGTCATGACAGAAGGTAATCAACAGAATGAAAGAAAGTCCCAGCCACTCATCCCCCTTCTCTAGCCAAAAAGAGTCACTAAAGTACAGGAGGGTCTTTTCACAGCTGGTTACATAAGCTGTAGGGTTCTTGTGTTCTGGAAGCAAAACACAAAGCAGCTGGAACCTAGGAAAATACACTGAAACCCAGCCTCTAACTTCCCTGATTTGTGACACTTCATCTCAAGTACGGCCTATGCCCCAGAGACTCCCAGTGGCTGTGGAGAGGACTCTGAGTGAGTCAATTTGTCAAAGCCGGGGGTTGTACAATTCATCTCTCATTCAGTCATATATGACCTCTTTATGTTGCTGTACCTAAGCCCATATATTATTTCATTTCTTTGCTCTGCCACAGAGGGTTGTTGTGAGGGTAATAGTCTTATCCTCCCTCACCTACTATCATCTGTTTTATTCCTGGGGAGCCCTGCCATTATCCTGCATCTTGCACAGGAAATTGTCAATACAACTACGTAGAGTGCCAGGGAGCATATTTCTGAGACATGCCACACCTGATCCATGCATGCTGCCTCCCAAACCAGACATAACCAAAAATTGGGCATGCCAATAAGGTCTGTTTCCCAGCATTTGGCAGTTGAAGGATATTATTTAAAGCAACCTGTGGCCTACTCTAACTTATGCCAGGAGTCCTCTCAGCAGAATGTAATGGTGCACATGCAGCACTACACTAATTACAGTTCAAGAGGAAGCACATACAGCAGGTCTCAGTACAGCATTGCAAGGTGCTGTATTTGAGTGGTAGGGACATACGCAGAGAGGTAGTGTGGCTGACCCACAGTCACATAAGAAGGCAACAAGAGGGCAAGAAGCTGAATTCAGGTTTCTCAGGTTTTAGGTTGTATCGTAGTGGTGGTGTCCACTCGTTCATCTTTTCTCTATGGACGCCTACTGGTGCAAAGGGGCCTTAAGTTAGATTCACTTCCACAATGGTGCAACCAGAACTGGGCTCTAAGTTTTCTAGAGAGAAAATATAAAGGGAACTGCAACTGATTTCAATGGAAGCAAAAAGTAGCCTCTTGAGACAGCAGCTTGACCCCCCACCACCAGTCAGAGGGTGAGCAAGGGCAGTCCAGAATGTCACTGCTGTTCAGCTCTGCTCCAGATTTCCTTGCAGCTAGGCAATGCACTATAAACTCAGCTAAGAAGTGAGTGGTTAATCATCTAGCATAAATCTCTGAAAAAATTCGCTTGTCATTACTGTGAACTTAGAGAAGCTCATCAGCCTTCTGCCTTTCAAATGGTTGAACAGCCATGTAGCGAATCTGCACATTCAAGTCACTTTTTATCATCTTCTCTCCCAAATCTGTTTCTCAACATCAAACCCAGCTCTAATTCCAACCTGTGTCAGAACTCTCTCTCCAATCTAACCACCTCCCTGACATTTCTTTTTAAATGACCTACCAACATTTCATACTCAACACAGTAGTAAACAGAACTTTTTATCTTCCCCCCCAAACCCTTTTCAGGCTGGTCTCCATCTCAGAAGGAGGGATGTAAACTTGTTGTGAGCTAGTCTCTCTTCCTTTCTCAACCCACAGCCAAGTTCTCAGCAAACCATGAGCTTCCTTCTTCATGTCACCTCTAATTGTCCTATTTTTTTTCTGGGAAGGCCATCCCCACCCCCACCAACACTTGTCTTTGATTGCAGCTTCTCCTTCCTGTCTGACCTTCTTGATTTACATCATTTCTCACTCCCGGTTCATCAACATTACTTTTGTTAAAATCTTTTCCTCTCCCACCACTTTCATGAAGCTCAATTCTTCATGGCCCATGCACAATAACTTACATTTTACATGTGTGTGTAAAATGCTATTTTATTCAGAGGGCCCTGGCTCACCATATTCACACCAGGATAATCAGCCTTTAAACAACCATTAAGCAGGAGCAGACCCACAACATAGTCCTATGCCTGTGAACTGAGTTGAAGCTGGGATAGAACTTCCTTGGGGAAAAGAAACAGGTGTAAAATTACACTGGCAGAAGTGTCATATCTGAAGCTATCCCAGGATAGAAGTCTGCTAAAGGCAAGATGATGTCAAGGAACTACAATCATGCCTACTGCACGATGCTATTCTGATGACCTGTCTGCTTGAGATCCTGGTATATTTTACACCAGTGTACAAAATGTGTACATCAGGGTATGTGTGTTTTAGGTCCAGGCCCTGACTTGGTAACATTTTGCACTGATCTAAGTATGGTATTACACAAGGTGTGGAACAATGGTGAATCAGGCTCTGAGTCACCCTTCTCTTTGACTTCCGCTTGTTTCCTAGTAATTCAAGCTTTCCATCCTCCCCTGAAAGGACTTGAACAGCTCTGTACCAGTCATGGCTTATTGCTGTAGTTAGATAGCCTTTTTGTTTTATGAATTACAGACACTTAATTTTTGATGGAAAATCTCTGATTTCTCTTTTAAACCTCTTCTTAATTGAAGGGAATAGTGCTGCCTCAGTTTTAATCCTGGGAAGCTCATTCTGATCTCTGCTGATAAAATTAGAAATAATTCCACTGAAGTCAGTGGGATATATGGGATCATAAAACAGATACTAAGCTTTTTTAAATCTATGAGAAACAAATAATACAGAGTTGCCAGGGGCATATTCTACCCTGGGACTTATACTCACATCTGCTTATGCCTTGGGATGAAAATATGCCCCTATCTTTCCAGAAGACACAAAAAATATTGGTCTGGAGTGTTTGGAAGGGAGTATGTACAAGAAACTTCTCAAATACAACTAAGTTGATAGCATCCCAGAAGGTGAAGTCTCTGATGTTACAACCTTAAAAGTTTCTTCTGTGTGAGAAGAGCACGGCAGAACCTGGGCTGGTGACCTTGTAGATCATCTTTGATTACTTAATTAAGGCTGAAAAGAGTTTGCTGTCTCCTACTTACCTACCAATCAAGTCAAGGTGGAAATTCTATTAGTTCTTTTGCCCCTGTTCATGTTGATCTGTGAAAACAAAAATTGGTTTTCCTATAACTCAGGGTTAGACATCATTTTGGTTGAATTTAACTTGTGCTATTTAATTTACAGAAGTTTGTCCATCACAAAGACATCTTGTTGCAAATAACGGTGTGATATTATTCTTGTTTATAATGTTGTGATGTGCTATAAAAATAAGACAGGGAAAAGCAGAATAATAGGTGTAGATGTGTACATGCCCATCATCAATGTATTGCAATAATTCACATGCACTGCATGTGTATTTTTCTGTATAAATATACTGCCTGCTCATGTGTGCACCTCCTCCTCCAGGAATAGCTCCTCCACTCACTCACTACAGAGCAGGTGGCAGCGCTAGAAGGTGGCAGCGCTAAAGTCTCTTAAGTTCTGTAGAAATGTGGTTAGCTTGTAAAAGCCCGACAATACCTGATAGACAAGAGTACCTTTCAAACAGGATGATATGAACCACTGTAGAACTCAGTGGCAGAGAGAAGGGGGTTTCTATTCAATTTTACAGGATGCTCCAAAAATAAATGGCATAAAATGGATGTTCTCTGGTCAATTCACTAGGAGCCTGCCTTCCTCTTGTCAGTACAGCAGGTATCTGCTCCCCATGCCCCCCCCCTTGCAGGCCATTAGTGTCCAGTGATTTCACCCCCAAATGATTGATACAGATTCACACAGATTCCCAGAAGTTTAGGGCTGGAAGGGACCTCGGGAGATGATCGGGTCCAGCCCCCCTGCTCTGGGCAGGCAAGACTGCTGGGATCAAATAACCCCAGCAAGGTGTGCGTCCATGCTGAACTCCAGCCTTCTACCAAGGGGCAAAAAGGGGCATGGGCTCACCTCTGACAGCGGGTGGGGGCTGTCCTGCTTTCCCAGCTGTGTGAATGCAGCCGGGCTGTGGAAACCCTCCGGGGCGCACAACCGGAGCACTGGGGGCAGCAGCACCTACGGAGAGCAGGAGATGAGGGAGGCGGCAGCGTGCTCGTCCTCCCCTCTTATGCAGAGACCTCGAGCCGGGCGCTGCGCTCGGCCAGTGCCCTGCTCCCGGGGGGAGGCGGTGCCCGGGGGTGCGGCCACCATCGTCCT